CCTGGACCGGCTGAGGCAGAGCCAGCCAGCCCGCCAGCCTTGCAGGGCACCAGCCGAGGACACGGCAGCCCCAGGAGCAGGGCAGGGCAGTGCACCAGGCATCTCGGTGTGGCTGGGTCGTGAGCAGAGTGGGCCCGGGGAGAGGAGCCCACGCCTGCACACACCTGCCTTTCCGTGTCCTCCACTGCGCCCGCACCCAACATCTGGATTGGGTGGATGCATTAGAAGTTGTAGGTAGTGGAAGTGCCGGACGGAAGAGATTCGTAGTAGTTTATTAAAATGCGCACTAAAAACTGGTTAGAGGACTGCTGAGGAGACAGGAAGGGGACGGAAAGGACCAGCGGAGAACGGGGAGACACAGATGCCCACGTCGACGGTCGGGCACGAAGGTCGCAGGTACTGGAGGGAGGGGCAAGCGTGTGGGCCTGGCCCCAGTGGGTAAACCGAGGCACACAACTCCGCTGAGCAAGAACCGCGTGACCCAGAAGTGGTCTGACAACGGCTGCTGGGCTATTTTATTTCATGTAAAAAGTTACACCGGAGGAGAGGTGGGAAGCCAGGTGTACTTGATCTGCGCGCAGCTGCCAGCCCCTCTTGCCGGGACAGTTACCGAGCGATGAACCGGTTACTAAAGCCTCGCACCGAAGCCCAGCACCTCGTCCCCCAGACTCATGCAGAACAGGCTCGTGCTGTCCTGGACGCTGCCCACCCTCCAGGGACTCAGCAGATGTCCTGCAAGGGCAGGGGACAGAGCCGCTGGTGCCATTGCACGGCACCAGGCAGGGACCACGTGGGGGACAGCCACGGAAGGCCTGCCACCGCCCGAAGTGTGGGTCAGAGGCAAAGCCCGGGTGGCTGACGGTTTCCAGCTCACAGCAAGGGGCCCAGGTGGCCACCTGTGCCCGGAGAGAGGACAGACGTAAAAACGGAAGCTGCCCCTCTGGCCACCATTCGAGCCTGTCCCTGCCCAGTAGGGCCAAAGGCCGCCCGCCACCCAGGACCAGCCTCACATGGCCACCCTGGCCGAAACCATGAATCCGTTCCGGGCCTGCGGACGGGTCTGGAGGGCACCGGAGGGCCACACAGGACGGCTGTTCTTTGGACTGAGACCCTCTCTGGTCTGGAATACATTCATAGACACCAGCAGGGACCTGCACGGCCCGCCCCTCTTCCCTGAAATGTCGACTTCTGAAAATAGCTTGTTTGCTGTACACAGCCGCTAAATGTGACACCGAGGAGACACTGCGATTTGGACACATGCACACTGCACACACGCACAGACACACACACTCGCTGGGGGGCTGCCCGGGAGTGTTCCGGAAGCCTGAGCTTGGGGCGCAGTCTCCACGGAGACGCCCCCAGGTCGGGGCGCCGGAGCCGGAGACCCTGGTCCACGCCGACAGTGTGACACCGGCTTGGGGCACAGCGGCAGCCGCCGTACCCTGTCACGCGTCCACGTGGCTGCTGTCCCATGGTCACAGGCCCCACAGACCGAGCTGGCGGAGACTCCGACGGGTCACACCGAGAACTCTGGGCCGCCTTTCCTGGGCCGCACGTGCAGTCGCCGGAACCGGAAGCCGACGAAGGGGTTCATCCATAGGAGTGAGGGGGGACCCCCGAAGACAGACTTCATCCCTTCCCAGCGCAGCCTGCGCTCCCACGTGGGCTTCTCGCTTTTCAGCCGCTCGATCTCCTGGAGGCAGAAGAGCAGGATGGCAGGCGGCCGAGCAGCAGCCCCCTCGCTCCAGGATGGCCGTCGGGTGACAGGCACAGCCTCAGGGCACCTGCCCGCCGCCCGCAGCTCCCCACCCTGTGTGATGCTGTTCCTGGCCCTCGGCGGTGTAAACCTTGCCAGCACCGGCCGCCCGCCACTCTCAGATGGACCGAGACCTGCGCCACACCGTGCCGACCCAAGAGCACAGACATCAGACGTGGGGCTCAGAGACGCCCAGCCAGCCTCCCGCTGTGCCCGGGGGACGCCCGGCGGACCCTACCGTCTCATCGTTGCATATTGAGTGGATCTGGGTGCCAAACATCACTGCGGTGAATGTGAAGAACAGCAGACCCTCAAGGCACAGGAAGATCAACAGGATTACAGTTATGGGGGGCGAGAAGTCGCTGCACTCTGTGGGCGAGAGCGAGGCGGTGACCACAGAGACGACAGGGACCCTGTCCTGCACGGGTGGGGCAGGCGACCCCAGCAATTCCGCACACTGCTCTGCGCTGGCCGGGGCTTCGGGGTCCTGCCTCCCCGTACTGTCCCGCAGGAGTCCCGCCCTGGCCACCTCACTTGCGTCCACACATGGCACAGGCACCACTGGGAGCAAGCGCTCACCAGCCGCCCGCGAAGCAGACCCACGCTTCAGGGACAGGACTCACTTTCCTCTACTTGCAGAAATCTGCAAAGTACAACTTAAATTGTTTAGTGGAAACTGACTACTAAGGAGGAAGAATTACGTGGCCTTCGCACAACAGCAACACTCACCCTTATTCCTTTTCTAAAATATTCAATTCCTAAAACAATAGCAAGGATACTCTCAAAGCCGGAAAGGTGAGCTCCTCTGGGGAACACAGGGCCCAGCTCACCAGTCCACTGTCCCCGGACGCAGGAGATGAACTGCAGGCCGCAGAGGACAAGCGCGTGCACCGACGACAGGGCGATGTACATCTAGGGGAGGAAGGCGTCAGCGACGGCCCACTCGCGGGCAGCGAGGCGGGCCTGGCACGCTGACAGCTGCCTACCCAGACGAGACCGAGGGACACAACTACTCAGACAGGAGCAGCGGGAAAGGAACCGACCCGTCAGAGGAAGACATCCGGCCGTGCTGAGCTAACCCACACCGCGGCCTGGACCTCGGCTAGTCCCCAATCACCCGCATCGCTGTCTACTCATAAAATCAGGACAAAGCTGTCCGGGCCACAGTCGGGCGTGGACATCGCTGCTGGGTCACCTAGCTGGCGGGACGGGGCAACCCGCGAAGCACGCCCTGTTGTGCACGTGTTCAGACTCGGGCACAAAGTGAGCTCAGCCCACGGGGTTCGCACGGCCTCTGAGAGGAGCCAGAGGGAAACCGGCCGGGGATACACTGGGCTACACTCCATCTCCCCGCTCCAGGCAAGACTGGCTAGAGTGGCCCGAGCTCGATGCAGCCACACGGAAGTGTTTTCACTTACAGTGAAGAGCACAAAAAATCTCTGATTCTTTTCTCCCACACAATTGTTCACCCACGGGCAGTGATGGTCCATTTTCCGAATGCATCTTCTGCAGATACTGAAAAGGAAACTGATTTTCAGTGCGTCCTGCTCGCTGCGAGGACATCAAAGGCGGGGAGACACCACTGTGGACTCGCCACACACCTGGCAGGTCTGATTCCAGGTGAACACCCACGGCTCCCAAGGAGAGCACAGCGGGACTGACGCGCTCAGGACGCCGGGCCAGGCACGCCTGGCACACGCGCTCTCGGCCGAAGCCAAGAATGAGCTCTCAGGGAGATAAGATCGCCTGCCCCTCCCGCCACTCGGTCCCGCGTGGGGTCTCCTGTGCCCACGGGACCTCGTGTCCCCAACTCGAATCACCACTTTCCTCGATATGGGCCGTGTGTGTGGTGGCAGCAGGCTGAGCACCTGGCTAGGGCAGCGGTCTCGCCACCGGGGACCTTCGGTGCGTGTCACTTTGTGCCCAGTTTCTCTCTCTGACTTGGGCGGTGCCTGAGAGCCCAGCGACAGATGCACTCTCCCAGCTCAGAGCAGCGGCCTCCCTTCACCGGCTTGGGACCCGGCCCGCAGTCACTCCACGCGGCCCTCCGCAGAGAGGCCAGCTAGGGCCATGCACTCCCCGGCGGGCCCCAGCTCCCGCGGCCATGCTGCATCCGGATGGGTGGGGCACACGTGTGCGGCCCTAGGCCTCAATGCTGGAAACCTGCCCACGCCAGGAGCCAGGCGACATCAGGGCCGGGAGCAGGTGTGATGTGGCAGAGACCAGAGGAGGGGAGAGCTGGATGCTCACAGCACAGGCACCGGCCCAGACAGTTTCTGTTCCTTTTTGGGGTTTTTTTTTTTGAGACAGGCTCTTGCTATGTAGTCCAGGTTGACCTTGAACTCACTACGTGGCCCAAACTAGCCTTGAATTTGTGGCAACCCTCCTGCCTCAGCCTCCCGAGTGCTGGTATCACCACACTCCACTTTCTGTTCCCTTTTCAAAAACCTGGTGTTTGTGAGCATAGCTAGAACCAGTGAGCTTCTACATGCAGCATTACCAGGCCAGGCAACAGTGACCACACAGGAACCCTTCTGATGGGTAGCCAGGCGTGGTGGCACACACCTATAACCCCAGCATGCTGGGAGCTGAGGCAGGAGAATTCCAAGACTGTCCCAGCTGGGCAACTTAGTGAAATTTTGTCTTAAAAAAGAAAAAAGGGCCGCCAGGTGTGGTGGTGCACGCCTGTAATCCCAGCACTCAGGAGGCTGAGGCAGGAGGATCGCTGTAAGTTCAAGACCAGCCTGGGTTACATAGTGAGTTCCAGGTCAGTCTCAACTACATAGTGAGACCCTGTCTCAAAAAACTCAAAAAAAGGAAAAGAAAAAGAGAAAGGGCCTCGGAGGCCGGTGCGAAGGGCCCAGGTCCGGCCCCCGTACTGCACAGAGCTGTGCGGGGCCGGGGGCAGCTCCTACCTGCAGTGGTGCGCGCGCTCGGGCTTGATGCAGCAGCACTTGGGGCACTTGTAGATCACCTCCCCAGGCTTCAGCTGCAGGCTCTCCATGTACTCCTTCGTTGCATTCCCTCTGGGCACCGCCCCCTGCACCGGGCGGGAGGAAGGGAGAGCTCGGCTTTAGGGTCACCATGGAGCCACACTGCAGCTGCCTCGAGAGCAGTGGGTGTGGAGAGTGGTGGACGCGCAGGCCGGCCCTGTTTCCGACCGGGGCTTTTCTCCGGACTTGCTTTGCCCACTGCAGGACGCAGGAGGTGGGTTCCATGCGGTGGGGAGGCTGTCGGGCAGGGGCTGCCCTGTCCTGACTGGGGTGCTGGAGAGCAGGGTGGCAGTCTGGGGGCACAGGGACCCTGACCCCACGCCATTTACGGCAGCAGAGCCCCAGCTCCCTGCCAGACCCCACGACCTCCCCCCAGAGGAAAGGTGTCCCCCTCCAGTGTCTCTCACACTCACCCTGGCTTGGGAGACAGGTCTGGGACAGTGAGGCCGCACCCCGTCACCCCAGGGAAGCCAGGCCTCGCCCCCTCGTCCTGGTCACCACCTCCCTGCATGGGCCAGGCTGGTCTCGGCTGTGCCACAGCTCTGCCTGCAGAGAGGACCCCGGGGAGTGCACAGAGAGGGTACTGATGACACCTTTTCACTTACAGTGAAACAATGGGATGAGACTCATCAGAGTCCCCGAGGAGAAAGAGCTGGTAACTGCTTAACAAGAAGCTGAAGCGGGGTCTGGCAGGGACCCTGCATGGCCAAGGCCTATGGTCCTCTTCCTGCTCCCACCCCACATAATGACAGCCATTCCCGATGGCACTGCCTGGCCCTGCACTTAGGAAAGCGACCACAATTCCACTGGCTGAGCCCTGGGGGCCCCACCTGCCCTCCTGTAGAGGCAGAAAGCAAGCCCAGGGAGGGGACTCCCAGTCTCTCCTTCACTCAGTGACCCCAGGACCTGGTCTGTGGCTGCCACTCCTCACAGGCCCAAAGAGCATGGAGCCAGGACGCAGGCCCCGAGGGACAGAGGAGTGAGGGCAGCCCATCACTCTGTCACCTTCCTAACAGCGCCCCGGCCCTCCCTCAGCCTGGCCCCTGGGCTCCCCAGTCTGATTTATGCCACTCCCTGTGGCTTCTGTCAGCTGTCACCAGAGCTGAGCACTTGGTGTGGCTGAAACAGTGACACTCAAATGGGCAAAGGATTCAGACGCTTCTGAGAGATGTGCAAATGCAAGCACAGGAAGGTACCAGCAGCTCAGGCCTTCAGGAAGTGACAACTGCCAGTGTGATGGTATACACGTCACCAACAGCATCCTGGAGGCTGAGGCAGGAGGATAGCCAGGAGTTCAAGGCCAGCCTGGGCTACATGGTGAGTTCAGGACCAGTCTGAACTATATAGCAAGATCCTGTGTCAAATCCCCTCCTCATAAAGAAACCCAAGTTATGACCACAATTAGAACCAGGCGTGGTGGCATATATCCATAATCCCAGCTATTCTGGAAGCCGAGGTAGGAGGAACTCAAATTTGAGCCCAGACTGGACAACTTAGCAAGACTCAATCTCAAAGAGCAGGGATGGGCATCAGTATAGAGCACCCTGGGCCTTATGCACAAGAACCACCACCCCCAACCACGAGACGCCACTTCACGAAAGTTAGTCACAGGCGTGGGTGAGGACACGGAGATGTGGGACCCACATGCCTGGTGGACTGCATAGAAGGGTGGCAGCACCTCGGAGGGTCACACCTGAGTTCCCTGTGGCCCGCACTGCACCCCAAGTGCTCAATGGGGCACCAGGTGACACCAGCACTGTCCTGACAGCCAGGGGAACAACCCCAGTGCCATCACTGCTGCCAGCTACAAGCCAGCGGCATGGAGAGGGCTGGGGCTGTGGCCACCTGTGCCACTGTCACCCTCCGAACAGGATGCCGAGGGCAGAAAGCCCGGCACAAAGGGCACATGTGGTGACCCCATGTGGATGGCCCTGCCAGCGCCTCCGCCTGCAGCAGGTGGGGGGGGCCGGACCTCTGCGGGGCGGGCGCAGGGGAACGGGCCTGAGAGGGGTGCTGCTGCACTACTCTGCGGGCACTGAGAGCCGCCAGCTCGGCAGGAGCTGCCGCGGTTAGACAACCGAGAGGAGGAGGAGTTGCCAAAAGGAAAGAGACCAAGGCAGGAGCGTCCCTGAAGCCACGGGTCTGAGGCCGGCCCGAGCAACGCAGCAAGACCCCATGTCACACGACAGTGCACGGACAAACAGCCCAGACCACGGCTACCGTGGCCACCTTTACTCTGTCTACAACAGGCTGGCGCCATGTGCCCACGGCCAGGACGTGACGGAACCTGAGGTGACAGGGACGCTCGCTCACCCCACCGCCTCGGTGCACGGGGACTCACAGGGTCGGTGAGCATGGTCCGCAGATGCGACGAGAGCGCCAGCACTGCCAGGCAGTTGAAGACGACCCCGTTCACCACGGAGTACCAGAAGTCCTTGGAAGGCAGCAGCATGACGAACGTCACCACGAAGTCTGCGTAGACGACCAGGAGCCAGGTCGTGACGGCGCACACCATGCCGCAGCCGTCGCGGATGAACCACACCCTGTCAGCCGCGTCAGCCTCGGGGGAGGAAGAGGACGCAGAGTCACAGCTGTCGGTTTCCGTCAGGAGGGGGTGGTGCTCAACGTCCCGGAGCCGGTGTCCCGAGGGCTGCATGGTTCCCGGACACAGCCTGGAGAGGGACACAGCTGCTGACGGACGCGTGCCCACGCGGGCTCGAGTCCCTGGGCGGGACGTGACAGGCCCTCGGCAGAGCCAGCGGGCGCCAGTCCGGAGGAGCCCCAACCAGCCCGAAGGAGGGTGAGACGGGGGCCCCAGAGGCGCAGCCCGCAGGACTGAAGCGCACCCGCCCTGCAGTGCAGGTGAGCAGGGCAGGGACCGCCCCTGGGTCAGAGCAGAGCCTCCCTCCTGCCCTGCCCTGCCGCCCCCCATGGGGTGTTGGCTAGCGGGGTTCGGGAGTGGTGCTCTGGGTGTACCGTTGCGTTCTGACACTATTGTTACTGATTTTACTGCTTAGCCAAGGTGACAGTCAGTGCTGCCAATGGTTTTCTCCATGTGCCAGAACCTGGACTGCCTGGGGGTCATAAACAATTAGCCCATTTCTGATGAGCTGCAACCTCCCCTCCTAAATAAACGGGGCAGCCAGGTGCTGGGCAGAGGCAAAGGATCTCTGTAACAAAGCCACCCACTATAGTCAGCCAGCAAACCCAGCACAGAGAGCAAGGACCATGAGGATACAGGGCGACAAAACGCCTCCAAACACTCCCAGCTCCCCAAGCCAACCCTGGGAGCACACAGCGGAAAGGTCTGAACAGACTTCTATCAGTGGAGGTTACAGAACAGATGAGCAAGGGGCTTGGTGAAGTCAAAAGGAGAGGGACCTGAACAGGTAAATAATCCCAATGGAGAAAACAAAAAACAAAACAAACCAAAAACAAACCTGCAAGTCTACAGGAGAAACTAATACAAGTCTACCAGAGCCAAAGGAAGATGTAAAACTGAAAGTTCAGCACAGAAGAGAATGAGAATCCATAAAGTTTCAAACAGAGATACATAAGTTTAGAAATGAGTAGAATCACGGGCAGCAGAAGCAACCAGCGTAAGGACAGCGCCACCTCTAGAGAACAGGGCAGTGATTCGTTAAGAAGACACCTTACAGACAAGACAACAGGAGAAACGGATCCAGCAGCTGAGTGACCAGAATCAGTGAAAAATCAGAAGACAACACAAAAAGCATTAAAAAAAAAAAAAAAAAAAACCTGCTTACAGAAGTAACAGAAAACTTTCCAGACACGGAAAAAGAACACAGAGACATGGCAGGCATACAGAACCCCGAGTAAACATGATTACGAAAAACCACTCCACGCCACATCGCACAATTAACCACTGGAAATCCAATACAGAAACAGATCTTAAAAGTTGTCAAAAAAACGCAACAAATCACCTGTAAAGGAAAACCCATCAGAATTACAGGTTTCTCAACACAAATCTTAAAGGCAAGGAGTGCTTGGAACGAAGGGTTTCAGGCCCTGAGAAAAAACAGGCTTCTCTATCCTACGGAAGTTATCTTTCAGAGTCAATGGAGAACCCCCGACAAAGACCATGTAAAAGCCAGGTGTGATGGCGCACGCCTGCAATCCCAGCACTTGGGAGGCTGAGGCAGGAGGATTGCTATGAGTTCGAGACCAGCCTGGGCTACATAGTGAGTTCCAGGTCAGTCTCAACTACACAGTGAGACCCTGTCTCAAAAAACCAACCAACCAACCAAACAAACAAAAACAAAAAACAAGAGCATGTAAAGAAACTCCAAAAACTTCTCAGGGAGGTCTTAGGAAGAGATAAGGAAGCTAACAATGCCAAAAAGTCCAACAGAATGAATGCCGCAGGTAGAAGCAGCAGCTACGTAGAAGGAAAAGAGGAAAACAGCAATGGGAAAGTAATATGATGAATGACAGGACCAAGCAGTGCCTTTCATGGGAAGTGTCAGAGTGAACAGCTTCAATCCGCCAAGCAAAAGACACAGAGTGACAGGATGGATCGAGGCACGAAACCCAGTGGTTTGCTGGAACCCAAAGGAAATCTACAGACTGAAGATCAAAGGATGGGACATTTCATGCAGCGAGAACCTAAAAACAAGCAGGAGTAGTTGGCTCCATTTCAGACGAAGTAGACTTCAAGGCACAGCTGATCAAAGGAGGTGAAGAAGGTCACTACACCCGGGTAACAGGACTGTCCAACAGGAGGAGGCAGTTACGTGTGCACCCAATTACAGGGCGCCCAACCTCATTCAACAAACCCTAGGGACACAAAGGCACAGACAAACCAATGCAATTATAGTGGCAGGTGTCAACAGAGATCAGTAACAAAAAATCAAGAGTTGAACCATGCCTGTGAACAAACAGACTTAATATATATTCATGAAGTGCTCCAGCTGACAATAGAATACACATTTTTCTCAGCAGCACGTGGCACTTTCCCCAAGTGGACCGCATACCAGCTAATAAAGCACCCTGAAGTAAATACAAAGGAATCCAAATTTTACCATGCATATTACCAGATCTCAGTGCAACGAAACTAAAAATCAATGGCAAAAGAAACCACAAAATTATGCAAATTAAATCACACACTCTTGAGTAATTAATGAGTCACATTAGACATTAAGGAAGAAATATGACACTTCCCAGAATTAAATGTTAATGCCAGTACAACATAACAGAACTTATGGGACACAATGCAAGCAGTCCTACAAGAAAAGTTTATAGCTATAAATGCCCTTATCGGAAAAACCAGAACATGCCAAATAAATAACTTAACGGTAACCTCAAAATCCTAAACAACCAAGAACAACCCAAATTCAGAGCTTGTACTAGGAAGGAAATTACAAAGATCAGAGCAGAAATCAATGAAATAGAGACTAAAAAAAATAAAGAATCAATGAATCGAGAGCTGGTTCTTTGAAAGAATAAACAAAATACACAAACCTTTAGCTAAGCTTATCAAAAAAAAGGAAAGAAAAAACAAATCAATACAATTAGCAATGAAAAAGGTGAACTCAGAATGGACACCACCAAAATTCATAAGGTTATGAGCAACTACACAAACCTATATGCTAAAGAATTTGAGAACTCAGAAGAAACGGAACCATACATATATATCACATGATATACACACATACACATATACCCCCCAAACTGAACAAAGACTTAAAACCCTGAATAACCCAGTGTCAGGCAGTGAAATGGAAGCAGCAATAAAGCCACCAACTAAGAAAGCCCAGAACCTGATGGATTCACTGCCGTATTCCACAAGAACTTCAGGGAAGAACAAACATCAGTACCCCTCAAACTCTCTAATGAATGTAAAGGGAAGAAAAACTTCCACAATCTTTCTTGGAAGCTAGCATTACCCTGATCCCAAAACTAGACAAGGACTGGACCAAGAAAGAAACCACAAGCTAATCTCTCTAATAAGTACAGATGCAAGAAGCCTCCATAAGATACTGGCAAACAGAACCTGACAAATCAGCAAAGATCATACACTATGACCAAGCAGGCTTAATCCCAGGGCTGCAAGGATGGTTCAACACATGCAAATCAATCCATGTAATGCACCACATACACAGAAGCAAAAACAAGTTGTGTGATCTTCTCAACAGATACAGGAAGCCTTTGACAAAATCCCACACCCATTCATTCTGAAAACAGGCACAGAAGTAACATCTCAATCTGATAAAAGCCTTTTCTGATCAACCTACTGTGAAAGCCATATTAAATGGGGAAAAACTAAGCTTTCTTTCTAAAACTGAGAACAAGACAAAGATTACCACTAACACCATTCCCGTTCAACGCTGACCTTGAAACATTAGCCAGAGCAATCAGGCAAGAAATAGAAGGGATATGTTTAGGAAAGGCTAAAGTCAAAGTGACTTTATTTGCAGATGACATGATCTACATACAAAACAAAAATAATTCCACCAAAAGACTCCCAGGATTAATAACCAAATTCAGTTATGTAGCAAGATACAAAATAAACACACAAAAATCAAGATACCCTCAATACCCTACTGATAAACAAGCTCACTGATAAAGAAATTAGGAAGACGGTACCATTCACAATAGCATCAACAAAAATACTTAGGAATTAACCTAACCAAGGAAGTGAAAGACTTCTACAACAAATATTATATCACTCTGAAAAAGGAGATCCAAGAAGACATTAGAAAACAGAAAGACACCCCCTGTTGCTGGCTAGGCAGAAGCAGTGTAACCAAAATAGCTATATTTCCCAAACTGATACTAGATTTAATTCAATCCCGATCAAAATACCATCAGAATTTCTCACAGATCTTGAGAAAACAATCCTAAAATTCAGTGGAACTGGAAGAAACCCAGAATAAGCAGAAGCAAAACAGAAGGCATCACAATCCCAGACTTGAAGTAATACTACAAGGTTACTGACTAAAACAGCATGTGCTGGCACAAAAATACTCATGTGAATCAATGGAAAAGAACAGAGAAAGTAGAAATAACTCCAGGTACACGCAACTATTTGATCTTTGATGAAGGAGCCACAAGCATACACTGGAGGAAAGACACACGGTGCTGGGGAAACGGGATATCCACACGCAGAAGACTGAGCCCGGACCCACATCTTTCACTATGTCCTTACTAAAATCAAAATGGGTCAAGGATCTAAATGTTAAAAGCAGAAATACAATCTGCTGGAAGAAAAAACAGGTAAAACTCTTGAAGGTATAGGCCTAGGAAAGGACTTTGTGAACAGAACCCCAATTATACAAGGAACAGTACAAAGAGTCTGCAGATAGGATCGTATCAGACCAGAAAGCTGTGCTGCAAAGGAAAAACAACCAACAGAGTGAAAAGGCAACCTACAGAACAGGGAAAAATTTTGCCAGCTATTTCTTACACAGAGGACTAATATCTAGAATATACAACAAACAAACAAACAAACAAACAAGAACCAGAGCCCCCCCAATAGAAGACCCAGTCAAAAAATAGGCAACCAAGCCAGGGTAGTGGCACCACGTCTGCCTCAAAAGCACAAGGTCCTGAGTTTGATTCCCAGTACCACGCCAAAAAAAACCCCCAAAAAACAAAAAAACCCCAAACCCAAACAACAACAACAGCAAAAGGCAAATGAAATGAACTGACACTTCTCAGAGTACAAATGGCCAATAAATACATGAAAAATGTTCTACATTGCTGGTCCTTACAGAAACAAAAATTAACACTGAGATACCATCTCATTCCAGAAATGGCCATCATCCAAAAATAAAAAAATAATAAATACTGGCAAAGATATGGGGGAAGAGGAAATCTTCTACACTGTTGGTGGGAATGTGAACTAGTAAATCTATTATGGAAATTAGTGTGGACATTCCTCAAAAAACTAAGACTAGAAATTCCACGTGACCTAGCTATTCCCCTACTAAGCATCATTCTGCAGGAGACGCGATATTGCAGGGACACATGCACACCCATGTTTATAGCAGCATAATACATAATAGTTAAATCCTGGAAAGGCTCTCAGTGCCACCCACAGATGAACAGATGTATAAAAATGTGGTACTGACATACAGTGGAGTACTACTCTGCCATACAGATAAAACTGAGGCACTTGGAGGTAAATGGGTGCACCTTGAGGTCGTAATGTGAAGTGAAATCAATCGGCCACATGAGCTTAAATATCACATGATTTCTCTTATATAAGAAACTCAGTGTTTGGGGTGGTGGCACAAAAACAGAGGTAGATAAAGAGAAAGTGGAGAGTCAAGAGTAAGGCAGGGACATCATTTCTGTTACGTGTGTGGCGGAGAGGGTAGTCATTACAGCAAGATAAGGGAGACAAAGGCCCAACGATTGGAGAGGAGGTAAAACTCTCTATTTACAGATTAAATTATTGTCAGGCCAGGGATTTAGCTCTGGTTCTGTCGCCTGCCTCACAAGCACAAAGACCTGAGTTCGATCCCAGGTACCAAAAAAAAAAAAAAAAAAAAAAAAAAAAAAAAAAAAA